AGAATAAGTGTGCTAATAAGTTTGTTAAGCCCTATCCTATGTAGCTGTTAAACATGCCATGCTTACAGGCACGTAGTACATTCTACCTGTGCTGGATGTGCTCACAGGCATGTCCCATGTCTCCATTGTTTTTACCTGTGTAGAAAAGTTTTAATTTATTAGCCAATCAGGTTTTAGTTTAGATTGTGAGGTCTGGCTCCAACCAATGGAAATCAGACACAGCAGTAAGGACGACCCCAAATGCTTAAGGGATAAATTTGTATGCTTTTCCTTTGTTCATTGTACTCTTGTGGCAAAATGGCTAGCAAGGGTACCGTTCCTGCAGTCCAGGAGGTAAAAATTGCATTGCTAGAAGATCCTTTGTCTCAGTGCTGATTTTTCTTTGCAGCACCGAGCATCTATTTCCAACAGGCTCTTCCTCTTTTATCTATTGATGTGCCTGTCATGTGTAAACGTGGCCTGGTACATATGACTAACTGATAAACATTTTTTCAATAAATGGTGAATAAACCTGTTGCATATGACCATGCCCTAAGTGGTAAAATAGATGAACATATACTTTACCAGCAATTTAAGAACTAAAGGATAAGGGCATGAGTGGAAGCTTAGATCACAGAGCAGAGGAATTACTGGCATGTGAGAATTAAATGAGTACCATGAATTGAAAGGAGATGTGGATGCAGATCTGCAAACCCAGAGAACTGAGAAGCTCTACATTAGGAACCAGCACGATAAATGCAATCACAGGAAATAAAACCCACATGAAAGCTGCAACATTTTGGTATGTGTGGCAAGGACTAGATCAGAAAACTACTTTCTGCTAGCATGCTATCTTCATTATCTGGTTCTGCCCTTGCAGACTGAATATTCATGGGGTTTGGGCAGGCTGAGCTTCCAGGGGTGGTCCCAGCACCATTTTCTCGAAACCCTGGATTAAGAGGGATCCAGTGAGCTGTGAGATATTTTCAATATTTATCATTCAGGGTACATAATACAAGCCTCATACACATAATCTCTTGAAGACTAAACCTTCAAGAGAAAAACAGTCAATGAATGAGAAACCCAAGCTTACAAAGAGAAGAAAAGGAAGGGTGCAGACTGGCGGAAACAACTTCAAAGAGGCTGTGTGAGGTGGCAACCACGACATGTAAAGCAAACATGACATTTACGTCCCCCAAATCAAGACACAAATGAATCTTACTTTGTGCTACTTTTACCTGCCATACTGATAGATTTTCCTAATGTATTCTGGTGGGCCAAAAGGTAAGTTGGAACAACAAGGGTTTGCATTTCAAAGTAGGAATTGAGGATTTAGGCAACCCCAGTAACTGGTGGAAGACAGGATGGCTTTGTGGTTGGAACAGTCTTTCTGACTCTTTGAAAACATCTTTGTTTTCTGCTCCTGGCACCACAATCCATTTTTTTTTCAACAGCAATCATCCTACTTGTCCAAAAGGTACATCAAAAAACATCCAGGCATGGGTCCTCAACATATGAAAGCAAGACACCCCAGCTCCCTCTTTCATGTTGTTACATAATTTTTATCTACATATTCACAATTTTAGCTTTACCTAATTTCAAATACATAAGAACATCCAAGAAGGGATCGACCTACAGTGACATAAAGACCGACTGACAATTCAGTATAACCCAAGTTTTGGTTCCACGTGCCAACACTGAAGTTCCCACTTCATTCATTTTGCCCTAGTTTTATCACCTGCATTGAGGCAGAACTTCAGCTGTCACTTCCACAGCTCAGGCAGGAGCGACAAGCTGCTGATGTGGGATGAGGAAGAAAACAGTGTGAAGCACCAATTGGCAGCGTAGGGAAAACAGGGATTTCAGAAAGAAGTACACAATGTTGTCACGTGCACTTTCACGGGGTAGGACATGCTCCTTGTTAATGGCGACACTCAGAAGAACCCACAGTGGCATCAGGGGCAGTGGCTCACGCTTGTAATCCCAGCACTTTGGGAGGCCAAGGCAGGTGGATCATGAGGTCAGGAGTTTGATTCCAGCCTGGCCAACATAGTGAAACCGCGTCTCTACTAAAGATACAAAAAAATTAGCTAGGTGTGGTGGCGGATGCCTGTAATCCCAGCTACTCGGGAGGCTGAGGCAGGAGAACTGCTTGAACCCGGGCGGCAGAGGTTGTTGCAGTGAACCAAGATAGTGCCTTTGTATTCCAGCCTGGGTGACAGGGAGAGACTCTGTCTCTAAATAAATAAATAGATAAAGAGACCCAATAGAGAAAGCCACTCCAAATTTTTATGAGAAGAAAGCAAAAGATTCCTGAGACCAAAAGACAGTGGTGCCTACTACTGGCTCTGCTTCATGCTCATTCCGCCACCTGGAGTGCGTCATTTCAGCTTATTGTGACTCAGTTGCCTCCTCTGTAAAACTGGGATAACAGTACCACCTAGTCCCTAAGTTAGCTATGAAGATTAAATACAATTATCTATCTCAAGTGCCTGCAGAAGAGCCTGGCACATGGTAAGTCGTTATTATTTGTTCATGCTATGACTGCGCATCAACGGTCTTTGCCATCCTCACCTCCTTGAAGGGTGATGTAGAGAACATACAGGTGGCGTCACATCGCGTTTCACACAACAACTCCATTCTTACCTCCGTATATTATAGCTTATTCTGGATTGCTCAACACTGTCTCATATCTCTCCATGAAGAAAAAAAGTAGGGAACATGATGTATACAGTATTTGAGAAATGTCAGGGGAATTTTTATTAAAATGCTCACAATTCTAAAGGTATAAAACAGGAACGTAGAGGCCGGGTACAGTGGTTCATGCCTGTAATACCAGCACTTTGGGAGGCCAAGGCAAGGAGATCACCTGAGTTTGAGAGTTTGAGACCAGCCTGACCAACATGGAAAAGCCCCGTCTCTACTAAAAATACAAAACTAACTAGGCGTGGTGGTACACGCCTATAATCCCAGCTACTCGGGAGGCTGAGGCAGGAGAATCGCCTGAACACGGGAGGTGGAGGTTGCGGTGAGCCAAGATTGAACCATTGCACTCCAGCCTGGGACACAGGAGTGAAACTCCATCTCAAAAAATAGACAAATAAATAAATAAAATAAAATAGAAATGTAGAAGTCTTTATAGTTCAATATCTAAAAGGTATGGTGAGTTCAGAATATCTGTCAAAAGCAAGGGAGAAAGCAAGGTATATATCTTCCAAGTACACATACGAAGACATATATCTTCCAGGAAGATGAACCTTCCAGAATTTTTTATATCAATATATGTGTGTGTATGTGTGTGTATGTATACACACATATACATATATATGTGTGTATATGTATGTTTCATTTATAAATATATATTTTCTAGATATAAATATAAATACAGGCAGATACACAGAAACACACACATACACACACACACACACACACACACACACACACACACACGTAGAATGGCCACCATTCTCAGCCAGAGACCATATGAAAGTCAGGCAAGGACCTAATGGAGTTAGAATGTGACCTCTATTTCTAAAGTGTATTGTGGAAAAAGAAATTCATACCAAGAGACGGAGGAGAAAGTGAAAACAAGAAAGACAAAGCCCCTGAGCAGCAGCTGAAGTAGTAACCACTGCTCCCCTTAATCAAAACGCCCTCTCTATTCCAGGTACCGTGTTAAGCACTAACAGTCTAGATCTAGACATCTTTTAATTTTCTTAACAACCCACAAGTTAGACATCATTTTTCCATTTTACTGACATAGAAACTGAGGTTAACTATCTTCACCAAAGGTATGCAAGCCAAAAAGTAATGGTGCTCCGCTCTAAATGTAGCTTCCAGTGACTCAAATCCTGTGTTCTTCCTGCTATACCACATTGCTTCAAAACATGCCTAGAAGAACTGGTGAAGTGGTCTCATTCTCATGGTCTTACTGCAAGAAAAGATAGCATACGCCACCACTCCAGTGCCCGATCTCCCCCGAGACAGAGACTTGAAGAGCATAAGATTTACCTATTAAAAATGTAAATGTATGTACATATATGTATCCATCCATCCATCTGCCCATCCATCCATCCACTCACCCATTCATCCACCCATCCACTCATCCATTTATCCATCCATTCAACTTTCTAATCATCCATCCACCTATCCACCCATCCACCTATCCATCTATCCATCCATCCATCCATCCATCCACCTATGCAACCATCCATCTATCCACCCACTCACCTATCCATCCATTCATCCATCCATCCATCCACCCACCTATCCATCCATCCATTGATCCATCCATCCATCCATCCACCCACCCATCCATCGACCTATCTACCCATCGATCCACCTGTCTACCCATTCATTCATTCATCTACTTATCAATCCACCTATCCACCCATCCATCTGTCCCTCTATCCATCCATCTAACCATCCATCTATCCATCTACCCACCTATTTTAAGAAGAGAGGGCCCAACCAGACAGATTTATAGCTGCAATTTTGATAGCACTCCAAGATTGTTAAGAGGAAAGCTAATTTTATCAAAACATTTTTTTTAAAGGGTGAATCCCATTTTGGGCTCATCCATTTTGATGATTAAGCCTTTGCCAAGACCTCTCCCTGTGAGATGCTACAATTGAAGGAGGTACCCTCCCACACATACTGTCACATGTGCATATTCATATTTCTTATCACAGTTTTAAATGGAAATGGGGTACTCTGAACCGAGTGAGTATCATAAAAGGACTGCACCCCCCTACCCCTCACCAAGTCTAGGATGGGAATTTCCTCCACTCTGACATTCCCTTTGTCTCCCGTTGCTCTCTCCCAAGTCAGCCAACCAGGCAGAGGGAGACAAAAGGTCAACTTTCTCACCCATGAGATATATCTCAGAATGTCTTTTGATATCTATGGGGTTTAAATGTGCAATTCGTGGTGAGAAATTACACAGAAAGATGTTTCCCGTTCAGATATCAGAGAAAACACATCACATTTGAAACTAAAAAACTAGAGGGAAGCTTCCTATTATGCCTTCCAGCGGGGTCCCGGTGAGCACTGCCAGCTTGGCGAATGAAACCCCTGAAATACCAGACAACCTGAGAGATTGGCTTCGGGGTGTCTACCGCTTTGCCACTGATAGGAATGACTTCTGGAGGAACCTGATCCTCAGTTTGGGACTCTTCGCTGTGGCAGTTTGGCTGGCCAGGAACTTGAGTGACATTGACCTCATGGCACCTAAGCCAAGGGTGTAGCCAAGTAGACAATTGAAATCCTGTGCTGAACCTGAACCTTCCAAAAAACAGCCTGCAATCTGTGACCATCACAAGATGTGCCCTGATGGCAGCTGAAGTGTGATTCAATGGGCACTTTCCTTTTCCTTAGCCCTGCCTAGTTTCCTGTTGTTCCATGAGTCTAAGCAGAATTCCATTCTCTAGTCAGTAGACAGGTTTAAGCTACAGTATTGCCTCTGTTCTGTTAAGTTCTGTACAAAGTTCCTAAGCTTCTCCAGAGGGTGACCTTTGCTCTTGTCCTGAGAAATAACAATGCTGTTTTAACAAATATTGAAATAAACACTGCACACACACACACACACACACACACACACACACACACACAGAGAGAGAGAGAGAGAGAGAACTAGAGGATCACATAGATCCTCCATATGACCATACGTCTACATCACCATGAAAGTGTACACACATGTTCACACACATGCACATGTGTTCACAAGGACGCTGGGGAAAAATGGCCAGGTGAAATGTATACTAAGGGCCCAACAGAGAACAGATGGGGTCTGCTTAAAAAAGAAGCTTCCTTGGAGTTACACTCTCCTTGGCAAGGTGGGTGGTAATACTAATGCTGAGGTTGCACCAAATGTCTTTAATGTTGGAGGGAAGATGGGAAAGAGAGAAAGAGGAGGAAGGGGGGAGAGAGGGAGAGAGAGGAAATAAGAGGAGAAGAGAGGGGAAAAGGTAAGATAAAATATAAGAACACTTTTCACCTTGGCAAACCAAATAATCAGCTTTAATCAGGTAAAGAGCTTTATACTGTTTGGAGAAAGCACTGTTGAATTCTGCCAGCATCTTAGAAGCACGCAATTTGAAAAAGGTTCTATTTTTCTTGGCTTGCAAAGGAGAGTTGGACTTCTCAGTACAGCAGGGAACAGACGTTGTGGCATAAGGATCCAAGAGGGGCAGGCTAAACCTTTCTTCCCCTTCCAATGGCTTTGTGCCATTGTTCAAATGCAAAATACAGGCCACTATTCCATTGAAAACACGGAAAAGGCTTCTTGGAGGAATAAGCTTATTTGAACTACAATCATGTCTTTCCAATTTTTTTATATTTGCTTTTTATTGTATGATATGATTACATACTTATATTCAGATACTTTACCTATGTAGACCTGGTTTCATTGAATAAAACATCTCTTTCATTTCCTAGGCCAAAAATATCACAGAATCAGACAGACTTCATTAAAAAGTAACAAGAGGGTCTGATTTTACATGGACACAATTATTAGTTCTGTCACTGGGTGTCTGTGAACAGAGCGATTGATTTCTACGTGAAATTCGTTTCTCCTGTTAGCCTTTTAGCTAAGCCCTGGAGTGTTTTTCTATTTAATCTTCGGAAACTTTAAAAAATGGTATTTAGTCTCCGAACTGTCTGTTGTGCTGTTGCTGCTGTTCCCTTCAAAAATGTGACACTCATTCTTGCCAGAAACAACCTCAATTCAAGTCTATTTAAACCCACAGAAGTGCAAAAATTAGGCAACTCTAAAGAACACAATTATTTAAACAAATAAGTAAACCCATCAATGCCTCCCCAGAACATCTCGAGCTCAGTCTCCAATCCCTTTGACAGTTATTTCTGTCTCATTCTGTGCATGCTTGGTCAAGTTTGCAAAGAAAGATTTAGGGTTTTGTGCCTATTCTGTTTAAATATCAGAATTTATTTTTCCCTCGATCCTCTGTTTATGCCATTAAACCATACCTTGGGATGAAATGCCATTGAGTTGTACGACAGACGCTTTATTAAAGTTTATTACACAATGGGAAGGCCACATTATAGAAAAAAAAAAAACTTCAAAAATAGGATGAAGTTGACAGTTTCCACATTTTCAATATAAATAAAAAATGCTTTTGAAGCCAATTGAGCTACTTAATGAGGCAGAGACAACTTTAAATTCCTTTAAAGTTAAAAAATGATTCTTCTGGTAGAATTTCAAGTTTGCATTAGATCATTTCATTTGAGAGAAAAACTGTGCATGCCTTCCTTGAAAACCCAAGTGATCACTCCAGTATCAGCCCAAGGGAGGCCGTTCCAGGTGGCAGGCTGTACAACCTTCTAGCCTTGCTCATGTATCACACATTTCGAAGGGGGAACAAGCAACATTCAAGAGACAACTACCTTATTTAGTCTCCATCGCCTATTCACACCTCAACCTTTCTTCCTCAAATTCAGGGGTGAAGGTCAGTGAATTTGCACCTGCCAATGCGACGTTTGGCTATAATGGCAAAATTCAATAAAAAATAAACCATGCATTTCCCCACAGACCACTGCACGGGCATCAGTAACAGGAACTTGTGATTACCAGTGACCCAAGCTGGACCATGACCAGTCACCTTCTGGTTAAACCCATCAGTATTCTAGTATCAATCTATGAAGCCATCCATTTACCCTGCCCTCTATCTTAACCTAATCAAATTTGCACATTGTAACAGAAAGCTGCTGTCAGAGAGCATCAGGTAAACTTAATTTCCTATGTCCTGGCACACAGATGTATAAGCCAGTGCCAAGAGATGACATATGAGCAGGTGGCCTCATATTGGACAAATTTAGCACCTTGACTAAGTCTCAGAACCCCTGACCATGTATTATTTAAGTACATTCAATTTTATGAAAATTTCCAAAGCATTTGGGAAGCAGGTCTAAGTATTCTGGCATTTGTAAGATGTTTGCCTTTGGTTAGTTTACTCCTGACAAATTAGTCAAAAGAAGGTGAGGAGTGCTTAGAGGAAGGATGGGCATTAGAAGTAGGAGTGTTTTATAAATAGATGTGATATAAATAGATTACATCACATTTTAGTCATTTAATTTGGGTTTTCTTGAGGAGCTAGACTTGTTTGTGGTCCAAAATAACACTATCATGAAAATGATTCTGTCATGCTTTTAGTGAAAAGTCATGTGTTATCACTGCCACCTGAACTTGACGTCTAATGAGTCAGGAAGGGTTTGTTTCAGGACACTAGAACATAAGCTCCTTGAGCATGAGGGCTTTGCTTCTTTTGTTCTCAGCTGTATCTTTAATCATGAAAAGTGTATGTCACATAGGAAGGTCATGATAAGTGTTTGTTGAATGAATGAGTGAAAATAAACAAACCAACAAATCCAGTTGATCAATAAAAGAATGAAAGGATTCTTTTGATTCTGTATTCCTTTTCCTTTCTTACCACTCCTCCAGCCCACTGGTTCGTAGTTTTGGCTGTGGATAAGAAATACCTAGGGAAATCTTTAAAATATACTAAGGCCTGTGCCCTCATCACAGACATTCTGATTCAATTGCTATGAAGACAGGGTAGGGGCTTTGAAAAGCTCTCCAGGTAACTCTAATTAGCCAGCTTTTACAATGGTTGACCATGATCTTTTTTCAGCATCCTCTCAATCTTGTTCCTGGTATCTAAGGTTCTTGTCTGCATCTTTTCCCCAACTTTGCCCTCCTAAGCAGTTCTTCAAGTGTCACAATCTTTCGTCTGTGTTTTTCTTCTCCTCATCACTGGGTCCCATTCCTTTTGAGCGTGTTTCAGTGACTGAGACATATAACCTGATAACGTGACATCGGTTACTCTGCCCATATTACATATTTGTAATGTATTAGAAATTGGCAACACATTGCTGAGAGGGGTGGCTCAAGATTAAACTTTCAGAGAAAGAGGATGAATGGCAATGACTTGGCTTGGTCATTTCAGGTTCTCTTCAAATGCAAAAACTGCCTGCCTAAAAAACAACAAGACAAAACAAAAGATGTGAAAGGACCTCCCTCCCCCCACCATGCAATGATAATGGTCTTCCGGTCAAACAACATTAAAAAACTCAGGATATCCAAAATTTCAGATTACACGCTGCACAACTGTAGGGGGCGCCATCCACATTGGTAATTACGAAAAAGCAGACATGGAGCTCTGTAGCACATGGCCCCGTCCTTGGTCATCTGAGAAAAACAAACAAATTGCTTCTTAACACCAGAGCATACATTTCACAAAACCTATGATGGATCAATGCGTTTCTGTGATGATTATTTCAGATAATCCGGAAATGGCATGATCTGCTTGACAAAGGCTTTGTCAAGTAATAGATGGTCCATCCTTCACCAGACTGTTACAACTCCACAATATTACTGGATGAGACCGAGTGGCATTGCCATTTCTATGAAACAGAGGAGTACAGACTTCCAAGACTGTGTAAATGTCAACTATAATAAAAACTTGAGGTGTAAGCTGTGAATCCATCTATCACTTGGACATTTTTTTTTTCCAAATATAGTGTGGACAATCTGTTTCAGCATGTTAAAATAATCGCAATAAATTTGATAAGAAACTTTTGGTCTTAGCAGTGTAAATGTAATAGTATTAAACACACGGCCAATAACAGTCCAAGCTTTTCTTGCCAGAATTTTGGCACATCATGATCTTTCATGGTCAACTCTCTAGGCAGGTCCCTTTGGAAAAAAAAAAATCTATAAATAAATATTACACAATGATGTAAATGTACAAGAAAGTTGATTGCTGCTTCTTCCTATTTTCATTACAAGGTACAGGCTGAAATCTATATGTTGTATTTTCTCATTGAAAACAAGAACAGATGCATCCTGGAAATAGTTCATAAAGCCATGGAAATGAACTAAATTGAATGCTGCTCAGAGTTAATAATTCACATAATCACAACCAGCACTTTGAAAATAAGCAAAATTGTTCCTCATGTTCTGTAATCACTACATTCTCTAATTAACAATTAAAAGAATGATGTTTTTGAAATCATGGAGGACATAGATCACATCCCATTAATTTAATGATCTAATATCCCAATGTTAATTTTAGGCACTGGATAAAGCTTTACAATTTCTATAAATACTACTAAGTTGTTTCAAGTGCATTTTTATTTTAATATCACCAATCTCTTTTTTTTTTCACTTAGATGATGCCAGGTGGCACACACAGTAAGTTGTCTGGGCTTGCTTATATATACACCTGATCCCTTTGAGTTGGAAGAGGGTAGACGCTGGAAAGGTTGGTAGAGTGACTCACTTGCAGAAACATCCAGCAACAGGAATAAAACATCACA